TATGTACTGCATGTTTATAGAGTATGTACTGCATGTTTATAGAGTATGTACTGCATGTTTATAGAGTATGTACTGCATGTTTGCGTATTTGTGAATAGAACTGCATCTCTGAAAACTCTTCTGTCTCTTCGGTGAAAATTTAGTGAAATCAAAACCATGTGAATAATAATAACAATAATGATGATAACTGAGAAATGCATAATACTTACCTGTCTCCATCCTCAAAGTCCCAGTGACAATTTCTCCATGCAGCTTGGTATTGGAACTCACATAGCTCACTACTATGTTCTGTGTATTTTTTCTCAAGACCACATAAGTATGTATTTAGAGTATGACTGAGGCCAAAATTCTGAAGAGCCTACAAAAGACAATACAATTTGCCAGCTGTTTTGTACTGAAGAAACACTTACATAAATTAATATTGGTTTGAAACTGAATTATTTGCTATTATGTGTGGAAAGCAAAAAGTTATAATGACTGTGTGTTCTATCTTAATCAGAAATAAGAAGTAATGTGAATTTTGTATGATCAGTAAAACAAAACACTGTAACCTGCGACAATAAATGCCTGCAATTTGTTATTGTTTTCAGGAGGGCATTTTTATTAAAATCAGTGTGCGTAATCCCTGTGCCGTTGAAATGCCCGCCAACACAATTATGTTTTTAGTTTCCTCTTGCTTTAAAGTAGACAAAAATTAAGTAATAAATCATATTTGAGTAAAATTTGACAGTCGGAGTTGTAGTCATGCCCTCCTTGTTGCCGCAGTTGACAGCTTCAGACTTTTTTCAAAGTGTTACTATGCGACTAAACAGAAAACACAGGACATCTGTCGTTCATACTAAGGGAAGATTTTATACTGATGAATTAGGTGACCAAGTTTGATAAAGTTTAGAATAGATTTAGTAAAGTTATTGTGCACACATTAACAATTGTTAACGATGACGATGACAACGCTGTTGACAGACATTTTCTCCTTAATATACCTTTCCCTTCTGTCTGTGATGGTACGGGCAAGCTAAAAAGAGGGAAGCCATGCAAGTGTCATGCACTGAATATCGTAAAAACTTGTACTTGTAAAAACTACTTCTTTTACAAGTGCTGGATAATCATGAAAATGATGAAAATCATGCTTTTAAAAGAGTATTTTGGTCATTTGAACATTTGGTCTATCGATGACATTACCGGTATACATTATACTGTTGGTATCCC